GATATGGTCAGTCATAAATATCTTACAAAAAATTAATCTGTTACGGGTCAAGTCATCGTTAAGACACTTGCATCATCTGACATTTCCAAAATTGAACTTTTACCAAGAGATTCGCTCCTTGACTTGGAATATGCCAATGACATAGTTCTACTTGGTGAAGACGCTGACAAAAAGCAGTGTTTCCTGACTAGCCTAAGCAACAATCCAAGCATGTTCGGGATGCGATTCTCCCCATCGAAATGCAGAATTTCGCTTCAGCATTGGGTTGCATCGGCACCTGAAGTGGTGATAGAGATGGAAGCAGTTGAGCATTTTGACTGCTTCATTTATCTCGGGAGTCGCACCAGTACTGATGGCGTGATGTGTGACATCTCAGCACAGATACAGAGGGCTCGATTGGCTTTTGTCAACCTACGTCTCTTATGGCATAGGTGAGATATCCGTCTGCTGACCAAAGGACGAGTCTACTGCGCAACAGTTCGCTCCGTCCTAATATATGAGTGCGAGACATTGCCAGTGAGAGTAGAAGATATTCGTAGGTTACTGGTTCTCGATCATAGGTGCCTCCAAAGAATTGCTAGCATATCTTGGGACTATTGAGTAAACGATGCTGTTGTTAGGAAACGGGTGCTAAGTAAGGATGGCAGATCATTAGATGAAGTGGTGAAACTTCATCATTTGAGGTGGTTGGGACATGTATTTACTATGTGTAACCACCGACTGCCTCTTCGAGCTACGTTTTGAGATGTAGAAATAGGTAGGAAGAAACCTAGGGGCGGCCAAACTAAAACATGGCAGAAATCCATGAAGTCACTGACAACTGGACTGAACCATTTGAGTAGGTGTAGACTACCTAATTGGTGTCCGCGAGATGTTAGTAATAACATAGCTCGAAACCGATTGCAGTGGCGCATGTGCAGCCATTCTTTGTCTTCTCAAAACTCCAAATCCGCTGGATTTTTCAACACTTTTACCTCCCTCTTTTTATGTTTGTTTCACTAGATTACACTTCACGAATGATGTATTGGAACCTTAATATCTCCAATTACTGCTAATACTCATACTACCTCCCCTACTATGGGATTGTAATTGACAACTGCTATTCTGTGCTTATGTGCTGTATGAATGTTGTAAGTGACTGAATGCACTAGTTTACTCCATATCTAAGTGATCCTCTTTATAAAATCAACGTGAGCTTTTAATTTTTCCAGTATAGTGAACGATCCGCCGGTGTCCAGCAGGGGTAGCACTACTAATAACAACGGACTCTTGTTCCGCACTTTAAAGTGTAAATTGTTTCATATGAGACATGTTACCACCTACGCATACACCTTAGTTGACTCATCTTTAAAACTGTCCCAAGGTGAAGTAGATCTAAGAATCTTAGCACCTTTTCATATGTATGCCAAGGCAAACGAATCAATCAGTTCTAAAACTTAAGGCCAGATGTTTTATAGAATATCCCAGACCATGGGATCTTAACCAATCAGAGTACAGGCATCACAGAAGTGACTTTCTCTTGACTTATGGCATCTTGAACCACCCTCATGTTGTTTACTTAAGCTCATTCTTCCAACTTAGACCTTATACGCATTAACTAGGAATCAGATCAATAACTTAGCGAAATTAACTGTGAGCGTATAATCTACTCTTGATGGGTAGAGCCAATGATGCTCAGGGGATCGATAAGGTAGACCGGCTTAAATGGACCGCAATATGCTTTTAAAGTTATCATTTGAGAACGCTACCCAAAGTCAAGAAAATTCATCAGCTTGTGATGACCGTTTATCAAGATGGGGAATCTTGAGTGATTAGGTTAGGATTTATGGCGTACACGCCAAACCATCCCAACATGAGCATCTTACCTATGCATCACCACCACTCCCCTCGAGGCAATCTTCTAAGGATTGCATATCAAAGTGCGAATACTCAGATTTGTGCACACTTTTTCTCATTGAGAGTCTTCGTTACTTGGAATGCTCTTCCGGCCCAGGTGGCCACAGCCCTTCACTATACAGCTTTATGGAGAGACTTGATAATAACTTATTCACATACGGATTATCATCTCTATCTTGGACAGGCTGTACGTGATGCATCTTGAGACCAGCTATTTGTTATTACTGCCATCTCCTCAGATCATTCAATTAATCTGTCTCGCCTATTATCTCTATTTCCTCTCCCTTGCTTACACTTCAGTCCTCTCTCTCAATCGTCACAACCAATTAATAGAACAACACATATAAGCGAAAAATATTGTTTTCGATTAGATCGTCATCAGGCTTTACTCTATTATACATGAATATTTATATGAAAATGTTGAACCAATCAAGGCAATTTGAGTGATCCGACTCGGTATGTACATAATTTTTCAAATATTGCACTTGATGATATACAGTTAGAAGCTTTGTCCCTCGGGCCTAAATTCTGCGATAATGGGCAGAAGCCCAATCAACTAGATACTGATGTGCAGTTTGAGAATTTATTTTCGAAAACAACTGACCTTGTCCCTACCTCAGTGGAAGATGTAGCTAGATTTAAGACAATGTTGGTCGATAGCTACCTACAGTATAAGAATAGTAAGCGTCTTATGAATCGCCTTTTCACAAAACTGCATCGTGAAGCTGAAGAAAGATGAGACCTTGATCATAAGCAAACCAGACAAGGGGGAGGTGTCGCTTTAATGAATAAAACTGATTACATAGATAAAATGGAAGGAATGCTCAATGATCCTAGCAAGTTCCAAAAAGTCACCTGTAATAATGATATCAATAAAAAAGTAGAAAATCAATTGACAAACTCTATTAAGGAACTAAAGAAAAAAGGTATTATTACACCTGAAATCCACGACTTAATTAAGCCTACTGGATCCTACACACCACGACTATATGGTTTACCAGAAGTTTATAAATCAGGTCTTCCTCTACGCCCGGTTCTTGATATGTTCAATTCTCCGTACCATAAAATTGCGAAGTGGCTAGTGCGAAATTTAGAGTCATTGCATAAATCAGCTGTACGTAGGAGTGTAAAAGACGTTTTTGATTTCACTTCCAAGATAGAAAATAAGAATGTTAGCAGGAAAAATATGATCTCACTGGATCTAGTTTCTTTGTTTACCAACGTACCACTCCTTGAGACTATTGAATTCACACGCGAGCAAATTAAGGAGAAACAAATCAATATTGGCTTGCCCGAAGATTGCCTTACAGAATTATTCCTTAGATGTACGATGAACTTCCATTTTGTATTCAACAACAATTATTATAGACAAACAGACTGTATAGACATGAATTCACCTCTAGGCACAATTGTAGCTGATCTCTTTCTAGCAAAGCTAGAAAATGGACCACTCAATGAAGCTATTCAGAAACTTGATCTATATTGCCGTTACGTCGATGACACTTTCATCATTGTAGATCAGGACATCAGAAAAGAAAAACTCTTAGACGAATTCAACACTGTACACCCGGCAATCACGTTCACTGGTGAAGAAGAATACGACAAGAAACTGAGTTTCCTTGACATCACACTAAGTAGACGTAATGATGGTTCACTAAGTAGAAGCGTGTATAGAAAAAATCCCAGTGCTTACCAATACACTCACTTTTGTAGTTTTACACCTATCCGCTACAAAAGAAATTTGGTTAGATGCCTCACTAACCGAGATTGGTTATCCCAGCACATTCATAAAGAAGTATATGTCTGCCGTAAAAAAGAAGTCGGTGGTTTCGACCGCCCAAAAGAAGCCTTTATTTATTGAGTTACAATTCAACGGAGATGTGGCCTGCGATACTCTGCAGGACAGATTAATAAGAGTAATTAGTAGAACATCCACCGCTGCCAAACTTGCATTGACTTTCTCCAGTCGACCAGCGATATCTACCCAAACGAAGGATAAGTTACCTGAGTTGGCCTCCTCAATGTGCATTTACAAATTCAGCTGCTCCTGTGGAGATAGGTATATCGGGCGTACTTCCAGGCAACTTACACAACGAATGACTGAATATCTACCAGCACGGTTTACGAAGGGTCAGTCAAAAACAATACACAGTTCTATCTTAGCACACCTGGTAGATAGTGGTCACATTGTAGATAAGTCTAGAACTTTTCGGGTGATCTATCGTATACCTCCATCATTTCCCAACGGAGTTCGATCCCGTCTCCTACACATTGCAGAAGCCATAGTAATATGCACATTCAACCCTAATTTATGTGTTCAGAAAAAATTCGTGACACCCCTATCTCTTCCGTGGCCGGATATGACGTAACTAACGATTGACATTATATATATATATTTTATTTTTATTTATTTTAATTTTATTTTTGCACATTTGCTTACAATGTAATGTTTTTGATGATTATTTGAGTTCTATTCATCCACCTTTGACCTACTTTAGTTATCATATTTTATAAATTTTCCTACTACTATCTGTTCATCTATCTTCCTACTATCCACTTGTACTTTTGCCTTTTTCATTTCATTGTGATTATCACTCAAATTGCCTTGATTGGTTTAACATTTTCATATAAATATTCATGTATATTAGAGTAAAGCCTGATGATGATCTAATCGAAGACAATATTGTTCGTTTATATGTGTTGTTCTAATTTTCACAATGGGAATCTTTAATACAACCAATTAATAAACTAAATCATCTATATATTACTTAGTCCTGAAATTTTACTCATATTAGCATCATACTTTTATCCTTATTATTCTCCACACTGCAACCAACTGATCTCGGGTCTGGTAATATGATGGCTGCTGGTATCCAGAAACCCTACTGCCCTGAAACAAACGTTTTCATTCAAATCATGGGACATAAAAATTCACATCGAATTGACAGGTGACTAGAATTAGACAGTCAAGTGGCTAGAACCCCACTCCTTGGACACAACCGAACACCTGAAACCATACCGATAGAAAAAGAATCGAGCGCAAATAAATCAATTGGTTTATAGTAGCACATGAAAAAGATATTGGATATTGGATACTAGGCACTTTTTGACCCGTGACCTTGAGGATGTTACAATTCCCCCCAAGACTGACATTCAACAACAGGTGTGTATTTTCTTCCTTCTCCCAAGATGTAAACGTAGTGATTTCGCCCTCAATACCATTAAGGAGCGATGGCCAAAAATTTTATCTCAGCTTATCGATTCAATCTACCGCAATCGTGAAATGTATTGCACTGATGCTTGTCAAGTCAGTGAAAATAAGTTCTGGAGTATATTCCCTTAGGATATATCTGACAAGTTAAAAGAGCTAACGCGACACATTGGCCACTTAAGATATGATATAATGACAAACAAACCAGTTACACTCCTATCGTTCTCACCACTGGGTCCTGCAGAGTTGGAACTCTGGAATCATTTACTGTCTGTGCAAGGAGTTAAACTTGCGCGATCAGAAGACTCGAAATGTGAAGGTGTGCAAATGTGCTGGTATGAGCTTCCGTGGCTTTTCGCTGAATGTTATCTCTATCGTCGTGTTGTTGATGTAGTTGCACAAAGGTTAGTTGCAAATAATTCGCAGCTTTATTTTTAGTGGTCTCAATGACTTTGACCCTTTTTTCGTGAAAAAGAAACACTGTTTCAAGAGCGCTAGGACGTTCATAAATTCTATCCTTCTCTGCTTGACAAACCTATCAGATTTACCTCCTGAACGTGCTTTCAATTTTTTCGTAAATGTGGGTAATGTGAAATGTATAGTTCTTTACTACTGTAAACGTGGATTTCTTTAGAGATAGAATAATCTCTCAAGTCGTGAAGTTGATGAAATTTCGGATTACTACAGAATTCTAATCCTGAACCGGGGAAATCATTCATGTATGATTGTAGGCTTGAAAGCGCAGAATTTAAGACCGTTTCGTATGGATGTTTATTTAATTTGTAATGGACTAGATTACCTTGTCGATATTTTGGCTGGGATTTGACCATTTCTAGTTAATATATGTTCAGAATGTACGAATTGTCTTAATATGACCGGCTTATCATGTTTGAATAGGATAGTAGGAATATAGCCCTCAAGTACCCTGGTGCTACCGAGAGTGGGATAAGTCCGCTTTCCCACTCTTAATCTCACATTGTCATGAGTATGTAGCCCCTATCACAGAATTCCTACTTATTGCATATATATATAAATATACATATATATAGTTCGTGTCATTGTTAAATACCGTGTTTAATTGGATTGTTTTTTAGGTGAAAAATTATTGTAATTCTGCCTGTTGTTGTATCACAAAGTACTAAAATAAACTGCCCACTAAGTGATAGCTGTGCACAATGGTTTTTATGATCAATCAGCTGGGCTTCTAAAGTTAGAATCATAATATAACGTGCAGCGGTACTGTGGCAGATTGATAACTGTCCACAAGACTGAATTCTCAACTCAGCTACCAAAGTGAATTATTATAAAACGTTAAAGCTGGTCAGTAGAATAGACTTGTTGTTTAGTAAGCTAACATGCTTATACCTAAATTATTGAGCAGTTTTTATTTGATACGCAAGTTATAAAAAGGTATACTCCTTGTAGGTCACTCTAACTTTAATGATTTACAAACTTTAATGTTTTAATGGACTCTGGCTTGTTATATCAATATATTTCAAAGTTTTTTTTTATCTCTTCTGGCTTTTTTCCTTGATACTAAAGCTAGTCTATTGTTGTTCCGTGAAGAAAAGACTTCTGAAAATTATTGAGTATTCAAATTGTCTGTTACTATTTTTCTAGACTCTTTCATTCAATGAATTAATGTCATCCAACAAATATTTTTACATTTCTAAACTAAAGGAGTCTTTTTGATATTAACTATCAGCAAAAAAATTATGAAATTCAAAATATACTCCCAGCTATGTTCAGTTGCTGTTTTGATGTAGTCATATATATTTATTGGTCGAATTCTGTTAGTAAAAGCATAGATATGTTCCTATTTCCCATACTTTTGTTATAATGATTTCTCATACAACGTCATGACGATAATCTACCACCAAATGTTGTATATATTATTGCATTTCTAGGTTTCTTTATGGGCCAACGAGTTCGATTTATCACTTAATCCTGATGGGAAGTTTCAACAAATCGGATTTGACCAAATATCAGACTTCATCGAACGTGTTCAGAAGCAGATAGTTGTAAACGATGGTGATGCGCTGTATAGATTTTGTAAAAACTTTTCAGATCTTATAAGTTCAAGGGATTTTAATCGTAAACTACGTGTAGCTATTATACTTGATAACTCAGGTCCTGAATTAGTTGCCGACCTAACTCTTGCAGAGTATTTCTTAGCAAGTCAGATTGCTGAACATGTCTCATTTTACGGAAAAAGTATTCCATGGTTTGTGTCAGACGTCACTGGCAAAGATTTTAATTGGTTACTTAATTTAAACAGTTCGGATTCGGAGGGTGCTAACAATGACCATTATGCTCAATTAATTTCAAAATGGTGTCAACTCTGGCGAAAACGAATCCAAGACAGCAGTTTTCGTTTTAAAACATCGTACTTTTGGACCACTCCCTGCACCTATGGTGAAATGGAAGCAATTGATGCTGCACTTTACCAAAATTTGTCGAGAGACTATGATTTGATAATATTCAAGGTAGTTATATTTAATCAGTGATTATTACGAAATATTTTTATAAACATATTTTTATATTATAAGTAAGCAAAAATAAAGTACTTTGAGCCATGAGGAAGAAACTTTATGGTCTATCTATCCCCACAGTTTTACTTACCCACTCAATGTATTTAATAACCATTAAGGCTTCTCCTAACAGACCATGGTTAGAACCATGCGTAACACACATATTTTCACGTTTCAAGTGCACGACTGTTTATTGTTAACGATTATTTGTGTTTTTAACATTTTCTAATAGCATTGAGTAATATCGCACATTCTTAATATTGTTTCCATTTTGTTTTATTTTCTTCAAAGGGCGACCTTAATTACCGTAAGCTTTTAGGCGATCGTCAGTGGAGACCTGATAGCTTAGACGATAAAGTCAGTGCCTTTCGTCAAGTACAGATTGGTAGACCCGCAAGCTGTACATGTTCAGAAAAGTTCGGAGATTCAAAATCCGGTGATCCAATCATCGACTGTCTATGCGGACCAATGGTTGTAGCCCTTCGAATTGCAAAATCAGATGTAGGCGTAGGTGTGGATCATGATCTTCTTATTGAACTGCAAAACAAAACAAAACAGTGGTGGACTATTGGCGAATATGGTTTCATTCAGATTATTTCTCCTATTGTTTTCAGTGCTTCATGAATCAACATACAACATAACTTTTGATATCATAAACCACTTATTTTCTGTTCATATAGCGTCATTCTTCACATTTTTAAAGTCGTTTTCAGAAACCAAGGTTCTTTTGTAAATAAGGATAGTGTTATTATTCGAATTTTAAGGATTTACGTATGACAGGATTTCCTCTTGTAAATTTTTTACCTGATAGGAACATGACTTATTCTTCGGGCTATCGGCTGAAAGCTGAGCTCATCTACAAATCTCGGCTGTCTAAAATCTTCATAATTCATGGGTAAAATTTTGGTTTAATTCGGATGTGTTACTTTGACACATTATTGCCGTTCTCAGTGCCGATATAAACAGCAAATGTATTCTTGTTACTTGGTATAGATTATTGACACTCTGTATCATGTAGTTTTAGGTCCGAATAAACAGGAAATGTAATACTTATGCAGAATGTATATTCAAGCGTTGTTTGTTTGGAGGTAGTTTCTCGACTACGTTTCTATTGTTCTAGTAAGTAAACTATAAAATCTGATCCACTATAAAGCTTTGACTTCATTCTAATCACGACGTTTTAGGCATTACCGTTAGATGTGTTCATTCATCACATTAGCTATTTTAACCAACCACATTAATCAATCATTCTTAGACCACCATTAGAAACATGTAAGCACTGGATGGCCGTTTCGTCCTAGTGTGGGACTCATCAGCAGTGTGTATCAACGACTCTTGTACCTCGCAGGATTCGAACCCAGGACCATTGGTCTTGCGTGTGAATGCGAAAAAACATCGTACGATGTGCTCACTAGTGACTAGCTTTGTGAGGAAATCCTCGGAGTTCTACTCAGAAGACGTGACTAATGGAGTTCAACCCAGTTGAACTGGTCCCTAAAGTGTTCTGCCCATCGGTCCAGCCTCCTAGATTGAGAATGGATAATAAGACCATCCTTTTCCGAGATAGTCTCACTTACATTCGGGTTCCTAATACCGGTTCCCTTGATAAGGCGGAAAAGTTGTCTAGTGTTGCCTATCGCCGCTGCCTTTTCCATCGCTTTTGCTTACGCCACCCACCACTGTTCACGGTCGTTACGTAGGCTTTTTATGAGTCTGTGCCTAAGCTGACTACGCTCTTCATCATGTTGAGTCAGGTGGGATGCGTTTTCGAGCATCCATCAGTTGGGTGGATGCGACTGAGATCCACTGCTTCATCCTAGCCTTGTGGTTTACCTTGCTAGCAGATACCATTGCTGTTTGCACAGCCTTCTTGATATGATTCCAACCTGCTTCAGGATGGGAATCACTTGCATGGTCGCCTAACTGTTTTTCTAGTTCCTCCTGAAATATTTTCTTAGCTTGATTATCATCAAGTAAAGCCGTAAGAGGCTTCCTTACGGTGTCTTTCCTACGTCCAGCAAGCAGGCTCAAACAAATACGTGCTCGCACTAGGGCATGATCTGAATCTAAACATGTGCCCCAGAACGAGCGACAGTCCTCTATCGAACCGCTCCATCGGTGGCTGATGGCGATATGATCTAGTGGTTTGTCCAACGTTGAGACGACTTCGGGGGTCGCCAGGTCAAAAGATGTTTTTCCTTATGCTTCAAATTAGTGTTTGCTAGAAATAGTTGGTTATCTGAGCACAGTTGCAACAGACGGTCGCCATTGTCTGTTCTTTGAGCCGCGACACCATAACATCCACCTAGGTGTCTTTCATTTTCACTTAGTCTACCTACTTGTGCATTGAAGTCACCAGCCATTATAACTATATCAGAGCGCTTAACTTTTTGGAGAAGGTCCGAAAGCTTTCTGTAAAAGTCATCTTTTACATCATCTGGGCTGCAGTCAGTGGGGGCGTAGGCTGATATGACGAAGAGGCAACAACCAGTGTCCCTATCTTTCCGAGCCCTTACTGTCCCGTTCAGTCGGACGGCGCACAAGCGACTATCTACAGGGATCCAGTCAAGGAGAGATTGTTCTGCCCTACGACTCAATGCTATACCTACACCGGCGAGGCCCCTAGAAGCAGCATCAGGGCTACCGGATACACCAAGGGTAAATCGAGCTGCTTCTTTATCTTGACATGGTGAGGTCAAATGAGTGATGCTACTGGGATCCTGTATGCGCGTTTCCGAGACGCAGCACACTTCAATGTCACGAGATTCTAAAGTCCTAGCTAATGATGCCTGTTGCCCTACTTGACACAATGTCCGTACATTGAATGCTGCAACATGTAGTTTGGAACGGGGTTTAAGGAGACCAGGAACGACGTTTCGCAAACTCACATCGTTTGCATTAGCTGTGCACTGTAATAAATGAATGTGAGAAGAGTTAGTTGTGGAGATAAGAGAGGTATTAGGGAATGTAGAAAGGATTTGATTTTGAACAATTTGGTCTCGTGTGCTGTTGCGGGTATGAGGGCGGTTATCACTTCCCGGCTGCCCACACCGTGGAAGGTTGTTTCTTGACGAACCTGAAAAGGAAGATGGATTAGTGTTGGTGCGTGACCGCAGAGTCCAAGGGACAACTGCTTGAGGCCGGTCACGCACGGCCTTTTTATGAGAGGTATTTAGATGATTAGCTCCGTTCTTAAAGGCCCAGTGGGCACCCTTACCCAAGGAGACGGAAATCCGTGAGTTAGGGGAGGTGTGACATTTTTAGGGTCGACCTTTTCTAACCCTTCCTTCCTTGTGAGAAGGCAGCATCGCTGCAGATGCTGGTTGTCCGAGGGAAACACCTTACTGCTGTCACACCCCTCTGCAGTCAGCAGTACGACTTCGCCCTCAGACCTTGGGTAGCTGCTTTTAGTCTCATCGTTCTCCAATCGACCTGCCTGGCATGGTAGGACCTGCAGGAACATGTGTTCCAGCCAGTATAGCTCGGTTGGGTCATCACGATAGGCAAGCCCGACCACCACGTCAAGGTAGCAGCTTCGGTCGGGCACCACCGAATTCTAGTGATGGTTGACGCCAAATGAAGCTTATTATAACCACATCAGGTATAAAACATCTACGAACAACAAGAATTTAAATTTTTAATATGAGTGACACCAGCTACTTAATGTGATAATCGAGAGACAGAAAACTTACGCATAGGAAAGTTGGTCGATATCTGTGCATAACAATTTAGTGGAAGACCACATGACGGGAGTGTCTGTTTCAAATACAGAATGGAATTTGCAGCCATAACGACGACTCCACCTCAAAAAGGAACAAGAAACATCACTTTAAGTAATACATAATGCACAGTGTAAAAGTTGAGTAAGTCATACACAACAAATTAGGTCACATAAAGTCCATTATAACCATTACCATTATTTATATTAAGTGTTATGCCTAGTCAAAATGATTCTGGTATTTGAGTGTATCAAATGTTTAATATACTAGCACTAGAGTTCTAACAGATAAAAACATTCCCAAAAACCTAACAGTCAGCCTCCTTAACGTTTATCCGGTTGACGGCTTTCTTTATTGTTATTAAAGTAGTTTTTCAAGTAAACTGATTACTGAGATTTATATCGTCAGTCAGTCATAGGCGATATAGAGCCTAGCACGAATGTGTGTTGGGAGAAGCTGCTATATCGGTGGGATAAAACATAATGAACGGTAAAAGAGTTGGAATAGTAGTGCGTCAACGGTATGAAAAACAAATACTGCGGAATACATTTTAAAAAGTGATGAATTGGAGTAAAAGAGAGTACTAAATAATATTGAAGCTCAAGGCTTAGGGGAACATAAAGAGTGAATAAATCCTTGTCATTGTGAATGATTTTGAGTCATGTCACCCATAGTCTCAAACCACTAACTGGATTTATCGCATAGATCCCAATTAAGTAGTATTAACAGATCAATTCAGTTTAGAGCAAGAGTCAGTGAGTTTATGGACTGTCACATAATAATTTGGCAACCTTTAACTTTTCTTCAAGTCAGTCAGTCAAACAATTACAACTTAGAACTTCGTACGTACATACATGAGTTCATGTTGCCATATCACATTAGCAAAGAGACGAAGTTGTCAATTTGAATCCCATAGTGACAAAGATAGTAGAAGAATGGGAGGTAATGGGGAAGATTATGGTTCGAAGATACTATTCAAGAAGTATAATTCAATGAGATAAATTCAGAAAGAGAGAGATGATGGGGAATTCTGAAGATTAGCATTTGAGAGAACACAAAGAATGGATACACCTGCGCCATTGCAAACAATTTTGAGCCATGTCATTCAAGGTATCTACCCATCGATTACTATCGTCTCGTGGACCCCGACCAGGTAGTCTACACTTACCAACATAACTCAATCCAGTTATCAGTGACTTCATAGATTAGTTCCATGTTTTGGTTTGCCCACCCCTAGCTTTCTTCTAGCCTACCTCTACACCGTAAAACATCGCTCGACGAGGTAGTCTGTGGTTGGGCATTCGTAACACGTGCCCCGAACACCTTAAATGATGAAATTTCAACGATTCATCTACTGATCTGACATCCCTAACTAGTACTCTTTTCATAACTATAGCATTGCTTACTCAGTTGTCCCAGGATACACGAGCGATGCTCCGGAGACATGTTTAATCGAATACTAATAACCTACGAATATCCTCAAATCTTACAGGCCACGTTTCACTGCCATATAGTAGGAGAGAGCGAACTTCTAAGCAGTACATAGACGGATATCTCGCCGACGCTATAAGTGACTGAAGTTGACAAAAGCCAATCGAGCTCCCTGTATCCGTGCTGAGATTTCTTTAGTCACCAGGCCATCAGCACTGACGGGACTACCAAGAAAAGTGAAGCGATCGACATGCTGAACTGCTTCACTCACTTCATGTGGCTCATAACCTAGTCAGCACTGACCATCAACGTAGTGAGCAGTTGGATATATATAACACATATCTCGGCTATCTCGGCTGATGGAGATTCACGGTCTCATTAACTGATTTCCATCTTTCCCCAGTATTCCTATACCTAACCTCAGCAGTGATCACTCTTTGTTTCCAACGTACGCAAACAATACTTCAAAGACACCTACGATTAGAAACTTACAACTTAAATGTTGATTTTCAAAAATCATATTTTATAGCCATAGTAATACAAGGTGGGTTCCTGGGCACCGCTCGATACTCGTGACATCAAATGGCGTTCGTTACATTTGCTCACTCAACTTTTTATGATCGACATTTCCTCGGAAATAACGCCATCTGATTAAATATTTTTCTTCAACAAAATACATAAACGTGACTTAAGAGGTGATATTAATAGGAGAAAGCATTATCTGGAACTTCTCTCGGCTTAGCATGATAGTTTGAAAAACTACCAGAAGTATGAACAAAATGTCTTACCTATCGGTTGAGGTACAGAGATGACTGAACGACAGTCAAATGGTAAAAATTCCTGGAACCATATAACCGGATTTGTACGCTTTTGAAGGTTGAAAGATAATGCTACGATGCAGCAAGTGTCTCTTCGAGCTGAAACACGTCTAGGTGAAAATAATTTTCAAATCAAGTAACATACCCTGCCCATGTACCAATCGGTTCATATAGCACCAATAGTGTTGGTTCATAAAATCCATGAAGAAATTGCATGTCAAGAACATTGTTAATCTTTTCTCCAGTTGAAGTACTTAGACAAGTCGTAAAAGTGGCTAATAATGGTGCTGTCGCTCTCTGCTGCCACAAAAGTGAGTTTCTGACACTGATATGTTTTGGATCCGTTTCTGAAGAAATTAGGACTTCCGTGCGTCGAAAGGGTAAAACGGCAAGATGACGATCGTACACCAGCATAACGGCACAACGTTGGTGCGGATCCAGCCTTAGAATAGGAAGTCTTGTAAAGTTCATTCGACCAGACTATGTAGGAAAAAATGACAAGTACTTTAGGTTCATATTAACATAATTTAAGTACATGTGATAGCATAATGAAGGTACAGACGTGGAAAATACAAAGGTAAGCTCGTAATAAAAAGTCGAAGTCGATTAATGAGATGTCTGATGAAACAAACAATAAGAAGCAGCAACGGTCCATAAGAATAAACGTACTTGGAACACTGAAAGCGAAATAAATCACCAACCAGAACTCATAAGTATCAAATATTTAAGGCCAAAATAACAGAATTATGTTCCTAACAGTCATAACATAAAACTAAAATAGTGGGATTGACTTCAGTTGATACTTATCAGTCGGGCAACCCTCGAGTTCTGTGTACTGAGGGATAGGCAAAATATACGATACGTGAGAACATACCAGCTTTTTAGCCAAAAATGATAACATGGTTAAGTAAATAGCCTGTAGGAGTAACCTTATATTTTATGTCACATGACTAAGAAGACGGGATTCTTCCGAAAATTCTTTAATGGGTGTGTGCTCAGTATTTTGTACAGTTGGACCGTTATTGCAGCTCTGCAAAGAAAAAATAATCTAATTCCGCACAAGACTTAAGGGTATAATAGCTAAGGTTAAACAATGAGAAGAACCTATATATACCACATGGTTTTATTGTGAAAATACGTTTCATAAAATCAACAAAATTCTTGAAGTTATCCTGGTATAAACGTTAACATTTACGTAATCAAAGACTTTCTTTACTGCTGACTGTAAGATTGATTTTCCCTTAAACCAGAAATAATTCGGTCGCTAGATAAGCTGGTAAGCACCGTAAACAGAGAACATGATTTCAACAGTACCAAACTAAAAGAAACAAACCTTAAGGTTTTCAAATTCATAATTGTGTAGAGATAACGTCCTCAGTTCAAATGTGACAGGATTGAAATTCATCACAGCAACCTGGCAGTTTAAAAATGAATGACGAAATTTTACCTTAGCTTCTGGGAAACTCAGAAGTAGCGAATCCAGAAGATCTCCTGTGAAGCGCACAGTGACAATGTCCGCAATATTTTCGTAGACGGATGTTCCATACACCCAGTTAAACCGAGTTTCACCAGAGGCACTAGTAAAATAATACGAAAGATACTAGACTCACCTAGATTTTACATTATATATTTCGATGAATCCACCACGAGTAATGACAAGGTTCTTCAATTTAGGATGGGTCAGGTGACAATAAAGGCAATTATCTACAGTGCTTGGTGGTGAAATGTGCTTAAAAATCGCACTAAACGTTGTCGGTTTAGTTGTATCAACCCCAGAGCTCATCTTATTTCTGACTCAAACATGAGCTGTTAAGCAGCCTGACCTTCCGCTACAAATTCTTGAGCCTTGGAACTAGTGTCCAATATCCAGTGTTGTTCCACGAGCTAGTATAAACCAGCGAATGCCTTTTATCTTGTTTATTGCTGTGACTGTGCGTTTTTTTCAGACGCTCGATCATGAGGTTATTAGATATATTCAAGGTAATTTTTTAACAAAACCTTTCAAATCAGTATACTTCTCTTTTTCATGCTGATGGTGAGGAATGGTTCCATAGCTTTAACAACTTTCGATACGGTAATACCTAGTGGTTTCGGATTCGGAACCATATTGGTTTATTCAAGATGGAGGGTCTACGAAGTGTTTTAGCCATTCTCTTTTGCGTCAAGTCAATTTAAGTATCTGACTCAGTGTTCCCGCGTAACTGGCCCCAAGAGTTGGTGAGTCTGTAATCAAACCTCTGTTAAATAGCAGAGGACCTTGTCTTTTAAGCGACCTTAAACAGCTTGAAAATCAGCTACTATCATGTATTTAAAGTGTTTTAGACAGGGGCAACGCTCCAGTGTCATCACGACACTTTTATGTGCTACTCAATTTTTCTTCGTATGTGAGAATAGGAAAACTGGAAATAGGCAATAAGAAACTCACAAAATTATGAGCTTCGATAAGGTTTTATAAAGGACATTACAGCGAGTTCTAATCAGCCAGTTCACAGTTGACCAGTATTGACAGATCCGGCGGGTAACCTGTTACAAGTAAAACCTACAGAAATATTTTTTGACTAGAGGAGTTTAATGCTACCTCGGACAAAAAAGAAAACAAATAGTGAAATGCAGAGCTGAATCGGATAAAGTTTAAACGTGTATAGAGCAAATAATGTGGAAGTAGGATTCGAGTGAGTCCACGCATGCAGATGAATCAGTGCAAACGAGGGCTGCACAAACTCAATTCATTTGTCATGCGCATATTTTTAGAGAACGTTGTTCCATATCAGTGCATAAATAGAACGGAAGAGGTTTTCTAGAGCTTTCATGCCTCTCAAGCTTGACTTAAGATACTTTATGTGATAGGTTATCTATACATGAGCTTTTCCAATATCCAATATCTTTTTAACGAGCTAGTGTTAACCAATTGATTTCTTTGCGCTCAACTCTTGTTCTTTCGGTACGGTTCCAGGTTTTTGGTAGTGTCCATTGGATGGAGGTCTAGCCACTTGACTGTCTAATTCCAGTCAGTTGGCAGTTGGTTATGAGTTTGTATGTCTCGGGATTTGAATGAAACGTTTGTTTCAGGGCAGTAGGGTTTCTGGATACCAGCAACCGTCACATTACCAGACCGGAGATCACTTAGTTGCAATGTGGAGGACTACCATGCAAGAGGAGTATGTGATCTTGTACATGAGCTTAAATGAGAGCAGTAGATTGGATTTAAGCCCTCTTTTCCATAGTGGAACAAGTCTGAGTTCACGTTAGCGAGTAAGACGGTTGGTGAATGAGTTACGTTTTAGTATTTTTCAAGTGAAATTCCTTTTTATTCCTTCAGCCTTGATCTGATCGGATAGACGTAGTTAACAAAATAAGAATGAGTAGTGTTCAGCAATAGGTCAGACTCATGTTTTGTAAAGAATTATTCTGGATTCTCTATGAAGGAAGTTGTGAAAAATGAAACCGAGCATTTTTCCCATTCAAGGAACTCTGATGAAATCATGTTCAACGAAGTTTACGCTGTGGGAGTAATGCACTGTTAGATCAGTTAGTGACATGAGTTTAGACAGTACATTCCTATTGGCAGACGTGTCTCCAAATTACATCCAACCATATTCCCCACTATTCAGTTCCAAGTTTCAATGCTTTCACCAATTATCTACTCACTTTTATGTCATCAGCATAGAGATATGTTTTGCCAGTGTTGAAGCAAGTGAATATTTTTAATGTTCTCAGAAAGTGTTTGCATGTGCAACACGTAGTTTGTATTTATATCGTGGTAAAAAATAACCACTTTAAATTATATGCATATTTGAGTATCTTTAAAATATTTAAAGAGCGAGACGTCAGTGATTTCGATTAGTGCTCATTAATTTATCTTTCAGTGGTGACCGAATTGAGACTGACCATGATCACTAATAAATACTTATTACTAATTACTAGCCCGTCACGTTGATCAGGAGTAAATCCGAATACTTGTATCTTCTGGTTGATGGCTTTGGGGGTTCTCCAAGTTTCCGTCCCATACGGTTGGACTGTCCCGACATTTGTATTGAAAATCCTGATTTTCGTGTTGTCTGACAGTTATTTTGAGTTGCAGATGTTCCTCATTTGCAGATATGCAGCCCTTGTTTTGCCGATCCGCACATTTACATCTGCACCGGGCCCATACTGGTTGTCAATGATGCTGTTCAGGTATGTAAAGCTTTTAGGTCCTCCATGGCATCTCCATCAAGAGTGATTAGGTTGATGCATGTTGTATTGTATCGAAGAGTCTTTCTTTTCCCTTTATGTGTGTTGATACTTGCTGCTAATGAGTCCGCTGCTACACTGATCTTCTTTTCTTGAATTTGTTGTTGCGTGTGAGATAGAAGAGCCAGATCATCTACGAAGTCCAGATCGTCCAGCTGTACGCTAGATGTCCACTGTATACCATGCTTCCCCTCAGATGATGACGTCTTCATTATTCAGTTAATCACCAGGAGAAAGAGAAAGGGTGAGAGTAATCAACCTTGCCTGACACCGGTCTCCACCTCGAAAGAGTCTGTTAGCTGTCCTTCATGTACGATTTTGCAGTTGAATCCATCATAAGAATTCCGTATTATGTTAACCATTTTCTCAGGCATGCCGTAGTGTCGAAGGAGCTTCCACAGTGTTTTCCTGTCCACTATATTGAATGCTTCCTTGTAGTCAATGAAGTTGATGTAGAGTGGTGAGTTCCACTTAACTGATTGTTCCACAATGTCTGTAATGTAGCAATTCGGTCAGTACACGATTGATCCTTACGAAGTCCTGCCTGTTGATCTCGAAGTTGGGCGTCCACGAAGTCCTTCATTCTGTTTAACAATACCCTGTTGAAGACTTTGCCTGGTTTTTGAAAGAAGAGTGATGCCTTTGTAGTTCTCACACTTGCTGTGATCGTCATTCTTTGGTATTGTGATCAGGTATCCTCCTTTCCACTCTGTTAGTACTTGTTCTTCCTCCCAAATTTTTTTGAAGAGAATGTGAAATATTTTTGCAGTTGTTGCCACATCTACTTTCATCGCCTATGTTGGAAAGTTGCGTGGTCCCGCTGTTTTGCCGCTCTTGACTTGTCTGATTTCCGTACTGATCTCTTCAATTGTTGACGGACCAACATTGATTGGGAGGTCCGTGGATACTGCTTCGGTGTTGGATGGGTTCAGTGTGGCTGGTTCTCCAACTACCTATTTCACTGTTCTTTAGTGTTGCTGATTACTACTGACGATCATGAAAAAACTATTCAACGGTAAATGAAAATTATTATCCAGAAGTATAATTACGGTCAGTAGAAACAGTAGATTCTGATGGTGTAGCCTCTGTGTTACCGTCATATATCCGCATAGCATGTGTGCATACGCCTTCAGATGTTTTAAAACATAATGTATGGGACTGTCGACCTGATCTTGACTAAGAGCATGGATTGAATGATATTATTGATGAACTCAGTAGATTTTCCTCTCCCTAGAACTTGACAAACTGTCCATTGCCCGAAGAACCAAGTCAATTACAAACCAATGTGTTCAGTGGGTACTGTGTGGAAACAAATTTATGGCGGTCATAGTGATTAAGATTTGCACACTTATCTACAAGAATTTGATCCTTGGCACGTGCATACAAAATATAACCACAAGGCAACTTAGTCATTGAAATGTTCAAAAGCACATCGTTCTCAGTAAGTATTGACCAGGATTTTGTCCGTCAACTTTGAAAAAGTAATAATAAAACAGCACTCTATATATAAAACCAGAACATGACCCCAGCGCAAGTAATACCTCGTCATTAGGAAAGGAATCCCCCTCACAGAAAGCCTCTTTAGGCAGCCGCATGTAGACTGACAACAAGAAACACCAGAATAAGTTTAATTACCTCATACAGAAGTCTGTACTGATGCGTAAGTAGGTTGTCATCAATATTATAAAAGGATAATTAGTCAAGGAATGTCGTTTACTTTTTATGGATTCCCTGCATCAGTTCATAAGTTGCGGAAATATTGCATCGTACTTAAGATCTAAGTTGGTACTGCGTTTCCATTTTAGAAACTACCCGAAGTAGCTGGTAATGGACTGTAGAGACAAGTGTTTTACTCGTAACGAATAATGTTCTTCATCCCTCAGTCGCTTCGGGAAATATTGATAGCGACCTAGCATACCGCTTCAGGCAATAGAAAACAATTTGATAATGATACCAGTATTTATTATCAAATTACATGGGATTTCATTTTACAGACAAGATAAAATTGTTACAGTTGCAATCATAGAATCCATGTTTGAGGCTTTTTTTTGGTAAAATCCCTCCATGTACTTATTTTGTGATATGTTCTTACTGATTCTTTCTGTGCTACATTTTGATGATATGTTTACTCCCATTTTAGGATGTTAATATTTGTATTTTGTTATATTTTCTATTTTCTGTACCTTTATTGTAGTTTCTATGTTTCCTTCTGAACTGTATTGTGTTGTTTGTATTGATACTTAATTATGGCTTCAGCCATATCGGATTGGATACCTTAGCGGCTAAAATGTTCATCTGAACTGAAAGGGTGCAATTTGGATTGTAACGAAAGCATGCTTCCAGAATTGGAAACACATTGTGTTATTTTGCACGGAAAACAGTGTAATATTCCTTCGGTAATTATCTGTATTTCTCGATTAATAATAGAACCATTTCTTACCCAGATAAATAACTCTCTTTTTGTATAAACCGGGCAAGGCGCGTATTTAAACTTCTAGAGCTGTTTTTCCGAAATCAGAATCCACTGTGGATATAACAGCTAACAAATTTACCATTAATGGTTGGTCTGACATATCAGGTTCGCGCAAATCTACATTTATGTCTAATTTGATAAAACGACACTACCAAAATGTGGTTACAAATAGGGTAGGTACCTAAGCGAGTTCTTGGGCAGTAATTATAAGTTGAGAGTGTTTCACTAGACGGTGCTTAGCGAGGTTCACTAGCAGAGTATTTGTGTGATGGCGCAAGTTATTTGGTCCGTATTTGTCATAAAGGGTGTATTTCAAGGTGCTTACTACAAGCTATGATCTTCATGAAATCTTACTTGAGGTATATACTGTAAGAAGAAGCACCATGAATATTTACTGTTAACAGGTTTTCGTACAGAAACGAGAGATAAAAAGAGAAGCAAAGCAACTAGATATATGACCAGAGCATTGTTTAACTGTCTATAATGGATCAGACATAGTGAAGATAAACCAGTAGACAAAACTCACACTGACTGATAAAATTAAAATAAATTGTAGTAAGAAAGCCTTTAAATTAGGGAATTCAGCAGTGAGATATAGTGAGTTATGATGCGTATTGAGGCAGGTAGAAGCAAAGCCGAAGAAGCTGGATGTCTGTAAGTTGAAGCCGAAACTTCAGGAAGAAGAGAAGTATATTTGAAAAACATTGACAAAATTGTTCACTATCTATCCTTTTTTCATCACAGGAGAGAAAATGATGTATGAGCACGCTGTGAGTCAGTTCACGCGTGTTACAGAACCAGTGAAGACGAGTGCATTTTTGAGAAGCCCTAGTAACTAATGTAGTCCATCTGTCATGCGTATTTCTTAGGGAAGACTGTTCCGCATTAGTGCATACTTAGTGACGAAGAGGTTTCTCCGAGATTTTGTTTTCTACTGCCCAATTTTGACCGTAGATACTTTATCACGAACGTTGTGTATTCATGGACCTCGGGATCAGGGATACATTACAACAGTAGTATGTGAGTTTGTAAAGGAGCTTGGAGTAAAGAATCAGATTGGATTTAGGGCTTCTTTTTCACAGTGGCCCGAGACCAGTGGTACGGTATCAGGTGTGATAGTCAGTGAGTGAGTGAGATTTCGGTATTTAGTCAGTGAAACGCTATCGTATTCCTTCTGCGACAAACGAAACCTAGCAGGTTCGATTACGAAAGTAGTGGACACAAGATCTCCTGCACTAGACCATATGTTATATGTTGAGACCAAGATGTTGTCGAGTTAATTTTAGTAATTTCACATGTGTTTGTGGGAAAAGATCTAATCCATTGGAATAAAGTATTTAATAATGCAGACGAAATGAAGCCTGCTGATTAAGCAATTATAAGTTTTATTGCTGAATATCAAAATACAGAGAAATCCATCAGACTTGTGGTGCAAGAACGATATCCTTAGAATCATGTCGTGAGGGGTCGATATGACCAGATAATTTGTCTTTTATACTTCTGCCACTGGGTTTGAGGGTTGTATTGGCAGCGTAAATATTGTCAAAATCAAAGTTAGTGGTTTTGGGATTGTTCTTGTTAATAATGTTTCATACAGTTTTTCTTCGTTATTTTATGTACTCTAGCCCTGGTTTTATGATCGACATAAGAAGTCATTGTTTTGAAAGCCGTTTCGGAGAAGAAAGTAGTTTTTATTGTAGATTTAATAGTGACATTGAATATATCTAGTGTTTCATACAGTCCATTAGTGGTAAAGAACGTAGTTCAGTCTGAGAACTAAATTAGAAATAAGAAGCTTTCCCCCTCAACTTGGTCATAAGGTCTGCGTTGAACACGTGTAGTTATTGTTTTGTATTTAGCGCATTTTGCAAGAAACAGTAGGATGCTGGGGATTATATTATGATCGCTGTTGTTAAACACTCGACCGACCACAACATATGTCAGTGTAAAGCTGTGACCAAATATCAAGTCCAGAATGTTGTGGTTTCTTGTAGGTAGGTGCACATAGTTCTGCTAACCATGAGTGCCTAACGAACTAAGAATGCTTACAAAGCTCAATGGACCCGATTGTATCTACCTTTCTGCTCCCCGGAGATCGGGTTTACCACAGGTTGTGCTGGTGGTGTATCTGGTCAACAAATATGATGATAAGGCGGTCACATCAATACAACCAAGATGGTGGGGCAAGAATTTTTGTTCGATTAAGGCCTCTTATCGAGATGTAGCTAATCAGTGATATTATTGTTGCTCTCCCATATCACTTGCATCTTTGATTCATGTTTGTTAACTCTAACTGGTTTCTCTTCCTACCGAGAAATCCTAATAAAAGCTGATCTGCACAATTACGTTGAAAAGGAGTTCACTCGTGACTTCTTAAGTGGTAGACAAAATAATAAATAAATGGTGCGACAAATCACTTTGCCTCCCGGATAACATTCTGTAGATCCACATAATTTTCAACAATTCAGTATTACTGAGTCACTTCTATCCATACAATGATTTGTCCACTCGTCATCCTGGTGACTTGTCTTTATTAACCTACATAAATGTACAATATATGATCTAATCAAGAGGAAGAAGAATTCAAGTAATCACGCCATAATGTTCCATTCATAAATGCATTCATTGGGTCATTAGACAACTCAAACTACGATTATTTTCTATTCTACTTCTCACCTCTTCCCTTTTCCTTCTTAATTTGAGGGCCGTTTTCATACACTACGGAAGTCGGCGAGGAAAATATCAGCTCATCCTTGGCTTTTTACAATAGCCCTGATCTTCCTGGAGGCTAACTTCTCTTCTCCTGGATACCTGTTAAATTTCCACATGAAGAATACCGTCGTGAGGATCAGTTTGCGCTTACCTCATAATTCTCGCTGTATTCAGGTAGAGAAATAACCTGTAGAGATTATAAACCAGCAGTCGTTTGTTGCATAACCGTCAGCATAATTCGCACCAACTGTTGTATTGTGCATTCCGGTCTCCTAAATATTATATACAATTTCATGTGCAAAATATTGGTAATCTATGGTGTATTTCGTGAAATATCAATCCAACTGGGCAACCTATTACAATAAATGTGTTACCATTTATAACAGTTTGATCCTGTTTATGAACTACCATACCTCTTGTATTATAACGTTATCTGAGGATAAATATTATTGTACACATTTTTACTGGTGGATTCAATGATGAATGCCTGGCAAATATCTCACTAATTTTCGTATCAAACGATGGACGAGTGTTTGAAGCTGCATATATGCATCCGATTTGTATTTTTACATCCAGTTGCATTCACAGTAGCCACATCAAGTCAGGCATTTTATTAAAGACAGTTAGCTAGAATATCTGTTCCAGTGCTCCAAGATGTGTAGATTAGTTGACCACCATTGTTTTTAAAGCTTCGTCAACTTCGGAAAGGTTCATTTACGTCTATTAGAGGGGTTAGTGTAGTTTTGAAACTATATGATATGAATTTCAGTGGGCTATACAGTGGATGAAGTTAACACTCTCAGTGGTATTCTGAAAAAAATATTTTTATAAATCCTACGAAAAAACAGAAGATTGTAGCTTCCACCACAAGTGTGCATCTGCTTAGGAACCACTCCACAGTGGCTATTTTCTGTATAAATACATTGCTTCAGGTGTGAGAAAATGGTTCTGTTAACCTTAATTTCTTCAGGTGATTAGCATAACTTACTCTGAAAAGAGTAAGTAAGTAGTCGAGTCTTTAAGTATCATTCCACTGTAACTGTAACTCGTTATTCTAAGTGATCAAAGACGGATTACACTGATGGAGTAATTAGACGATAAAAACTAGTAAACCCTACCAATTTGATATAAAGAAACTTGAAGACGTACAGTCCACCAAATATTGTTTAATCTAATAAACGGTCATTACATTGAAAGTAATATTCAAATTTTACTGGTTAAAAAGTGCAATTGGTTTTCGTTCACACCAATTCATCCTGGTAATTCTTTGGATTTCAAACACCTAAGTAATGAAACTAGTCAGTTCGAACGTATGAAACACATTTTCTTGTTTATTTTTGTTAATTTCTACTATTTCTTAAACGTTAACGAAAAAGAATATGCGGAACAGAATATTTATTTCTAGTAGAATCTCCCTGCCGGTTTTTTTTATAGTATCATGGTGAATAATTTCAGTATAAGAAGCATGATTGTTTGTAGGCATGTGCTTTAATTTGAGAAAGATGAGTTTCGACTCTTCGAAATTACTGTGTTGTACAATTATGAATTTATTATTTTAACGGTTTAGTAACTCATAAGTCTATCTTAAGCAGTATTTTTAAGTTTTGATAAGCAAAATGCACTTTGGACTTTTCTAAATGAGTGTTGCAGTTTTATACTTCACAGTAACCCGCAAATTTGCGTATCTATTCCTTTCTATATCATGCATAATCAAATACCATTCTGAGGCAGTTATTATCTTCTGAGCTAGTATTCAGTAGTAATCATAGAATTTCAATCGAACTGTGTATAATTTTGACGATTCGAAGACATAATTGCGCTCTTATGTGCAGTAATGATGTACGAATACAAAAAAGTTAAACCTCACATATAAGATCTAAATCAAAAAAGTTTTATGCCGAAATATTATGTGGCCGCTACCAGATATCTAACTTCGTAAAACGTGTGAGTCTGATTACTGATAAGTTATGGTGTCTCCTTACAACAAAGTAGTTTCAGGCCTTCAGTTATTTGGGCAATGACAGAGAGTGGCGCGTGCTTACGGCGTTGCTCACTCAGCTTTTTCACAATCTTAGTAGTTTTAGCAAACATTACTGACAGTTCCAGTATTGAACCTTGTTGGGTGTTAGTCGGTTATTCACCAAAGATAATGCGTGAGGCCACACAGTGCCGTGGATTGATTGAAGTAAGCTATTAACTCCACTGAATGCCGGCTCAGTGGTTTGGAGGTTGAGCGTCGGCACGCGAGACTGAAGGCCCTGGGTTCAGTTCATGAATGCAGATATCGTGGATGCGCACTGCTGATGAGTCAAATGCTAGGATGAAACGGCTTCTCATTGCTGTCGGGTTTCTAATGACGGTCTAACGTTGGTCCATTCATGATTTCACTGATTATCTTTAAGTAATTTAAAAGCTCTAATTACTTCACCTGTCGTCTTTCTAAACGATAAAGAAAATAGATTTAATTTAATTATTCTTTCGTCATACGGCAGCTTCAAGATTCTGAGAATTAACTTAGTTGAGGTTCTTTGAAACTTTTCCATCAGCTCACTGTCTGTTTTTATGCAGGGGCTGGCTGCTTCTATGCAATACTCAAGTTTAGAACGAATGAATACTGTACAAAAACTCAAAAGTGTCTTAGCATCCATATGGTTAGAAGCTCTACGCATATTTCATAGGCAGATATCGTGCGGAAATGTGTTGCTGTTTCCAAGTTTTGTCTAATGATGACTCGTAGGTCACTGTGTGTCTGGATTACAGGTAGCCTAGTGCTATTCACCGTGTATTTATATGTACCTTGGCGAACAATTTAATTTTGATCCACTTCGAGACGTTTATCAACAACTGCTTAATTTTGGACTATTCAGGTAATTGCTGTAGGTCATTTTAAAGCTAGGGACTATCACCATTTTTTTCGCTCTCCATATTCTGATATCTTCAGCTAATAACAAAACCGATGAAGATTCAAGATTAAGAGGATAATTTACATATAAAAACAACACTGGTCCCAAAACTGTACCCTGAAGCACCCTGCTTCACAAAATTTCCGAGGCAGACGACTTGGAGTTAACTTGGCGTCCGACCAGGGATTCCTTAGTCCCTAGAAGTAAGTTGCCCCTAATACCAGTATTACTTATTTTTGACAGAAACCTTGTAAGAGGCCTTTTAAAACTAGATCAAGACTTTCTATAGATATCTTTTATTCTTGTTAGTCTTTGTTAGTCGCTTGAGTATTCTAGGATGCATTTCATTGTGTCACATAGACTTACCTGAATCAAGCTTATTCAACAGATAGAGGACATTGAGTTTCTTAGTGTCCATAGTGCTCAGAGTGTGTATCCGCAAAATATTTCGGGTTTCCAAATGGCCAGTGTCTTAAAGTCACCCCAAATCATTTCCTCCTACGCAGAAGACCGTAAACCTCCTTACTGAGTCATGAGGAGGAATTTCTCGGATTTGTTGATGTAGTTCAAGGAATGTGCGGTGCACTAGCTTTAATGTACAGAATTCCGCACACTCCTCAGGCCTTTTCTGGTTCTCTTGTCCAGTCAACTGAGTCTTCTGAGTGAACGATACCTGGTACGTATGTTCTATACAACTTTGGCCTGACCTAAGCTGACAAGTCGTTATCTAGAACGATATGGATTTTTTGACCTGAATAAACACAACATGTTATGTCTTCTTCTACATGAATGTTTCAGTCATGCAAATGCTTTTTTATGACTTAAAACTTTTACACTGACATTAAAAATCATGTTTTTCTACTTTATCAGAGAGCTTTATCATTTTAGTGTGTTATCTTGTCCTGGTAATATGATATCATTTTGTAAAGATCTGTGCAACCAGGCATCTTAGCGTCTTCAATCTTTCATAAAATATTTGAATGTATTTCCACTCTAAACATGTAGGTTTAGTGCAAACGTGCCTGTTACACAAAATAGCTACCAAAGTTTTTACGGCTGAAACAGGATGTATTCGTCCCACCAAGACTGCTCAAATAATCCCATTTTTAAACACAGAACGTTTTCTACTAAAATCCATTATATGGGTAAATAATGTTTAATTTTCGACTTTTATAACTGCCTTGTTTAGTTTTACAAGGTTTAGGTTCTCCGATGTTAGAGTTTTTTGAAAATTAACCACATGTGAAATTTCGTAACAGTGTTTATACGTTACATTCAATTTAGGATAGAATACATTATCAAAATGTCTGTGGGTATGGAATCCGATGATAGCTGCAAAACAGCTTCAGTAATTCTGGGAGGAGATACAAAGTCTGATTTATCTGATAACGAGATCAGTGACTGCATTAGCCTTCTAAATTCAAGAGAGGCAAACTATTCAAGTTGTGGGGAGTATCTATCAAACGTCGAAGTAGTTGCGGATAGTTGTCCAAATAAACTGTTTCACACCTTTTCACTAAAGCTGAAAGGTTAGTTATTCTCTTCGAAGTTCAATCGTTTTATCTAGAACAAGGAAAGAAGATTAAACTACTAGAACAAGAGCGTATTGGCTATTTAGAACAAATCGCCAATCTCTGTTCATCTTTAGAGAAAAAGCAACAAGAGTTGGTTGATGTTTTGCAACTTTCGGAGGAAAAAGCAAAATATCACGCTCATTATATGACAGAGGTTTGTTTAAAATTCCCTGCTGTCTTTCTGTCACGCGTGCATAAAATGTCCTTTTTCATCTGGCTGTTTGGCGGTTATTTTTATGACTTCACCATGGATAGTCACAATAATCAATCGCATAAGACTTTAATAGTTCATTGAGTAGCAATTTCATCCTTTTGACTGGCTTCTGTTATTAGCCAACTTTTCATGTGGTGCAAGCAATGCATTACTTTTTACATTTAGAATTCCAGAAAATACTTTTATGAATCCACTTAAGATAAGGTCAAAAACTGATTTTTAAGTCAAATTTCAAAGCTGGTAATTTGATGCTATTAATCATCTTATTTTAAGACATATAATATTACCTCACGTGGTATGAAATTTGAGTCTGGACACAAGGTTTTCGAGAAATCAGCTATACTCAGAGAAAGATTTACAAATACATCGGTTGGTTAAAAAGGTAAAAATTGAAATTATTTTTCTGCAGAAACTCCCTTAGTGTATGTCGTGTAAATTGAGATCACCAAGTAAAGATCATGAAGATCATAACGAGGAGGTTAAAGGGGTACTGTAAAACTAATCGAACTAACCTTTTATTCTGTCAGTCTTTTATCCAAATAAGGACTGTGTTTTTTAGCTTAAAATAAATTCACAGGTTAACATAAAAAATTATATTACCATTGTATTGTTATCAATTTTTATTCTATGACTTTCTTTACGCTCTCAAAAACAGGTTAGTGGTTTACTAGCCGAACTGAAAACACTATTTTCAGAGCATTCAACAGGTTCCAATCCAGAAAAACTATCTTTAAAAGATCAGGCTGAATCGGAGAATGAGAAAACAGTTACAAATACCAACGACACTTCAAATGTACACTTGAGCTCCACTCCTGCTTGTTGTTCAGAACTCCAAAAAGATGATCGTGGTCGCACTCTTCTTAATGCATTATCTGCTACAGTAAATGCTGCTAAAAATATGAACAGTAAACAATTCATAAAAACTGATGATTTTCCTCAGCCTCCTCAAATATTTGGTAAGCGCCCTTAAGTATTTTCTTACAACTTTCATGATTGTGCTTATTTTAAATATTGTAAGGGCGTAATCTGTTTGTACTATAAAAAAGTACTGTTAAAAAAGACATGAATCAAAAAGTTTAAATTAGTAATTATTTGCAAAATGTTGAACAGTGAGAATACAATAAATGGCTAATATGTGTTTTCTACTGGAGTTGAAATTAGGCAATACTGCAAAAGAAATCTGGTCATTGAATTTCGTAAATTTTATACTCCATCAATAAGTTCATTTTTGTCTTCAAATCCACGACCAAAAGTTAATATACTTATCAACCAGTACCGTGTCTTGGATCGATAACTTTTAGCCTTCTGCTACATCTGAGTAAAGCGAAATGTCTGAAATTTTATCAAGGTTAAAATTAAGTGAAGTGCAAAATAACTTCGAAATTAATGTTTTCATCCGTCATTATACCTACAATTCATATCTACAACACACCATGATTTCACAGTCTTAGAAACTTGCATTGTACCATGCAAATAAATGCCATATGTATACTTCCTATGCGTTAAAGTGAAAAGAGGACTGAATTATCTTCATAGTGTAAAAAAATCAATAAAATTTCAGAACATCTGAATCAACAAGCTCCGAAGAAAAAGTATAAACTTTTTTAGCCTATTTATCACAAAGTGATTGATAGAGAGTTTGCCGATCAGATTTGACATCAATATTTTAGTTGACCAGAAACTTTTCAATTATGCTCATGAAGCTTATGAAACATGTTAACTGTTACTGGTTAAGAAAACTTTATGTTAAATTGGTGCGGATTTTCATATGCATTAAAAAGTAGGTGTTACCAATCGAAAGGGATTACTGAAGTGCAAGAATTTCACACATGTGTATCAGAAAAGAGAATCTAGGATAATCTTATAGCGGAAAATGTCCTTACGAAAACGTTGAGCGGCTAACAGATGAATTCAGAGCCATGTCATGTCTCCTGAGCCAAATTCTGGTTTGACTTCCGTACTTGCTTGTTTACGCCTGTTACCCCTAATGCATCATAGGCCGCCGACCAGCATTCTCCAAGCTACTCTGTCCTGAGCCTTCCTTTCCACTCCTACCAAACTGCTATTCACTCTTTCATGCCTGTTTCTAGTTCTCGGAGCAGTATGTTTCTTAGTATATCACTTTTGCTTAGGTTTTGAGGACTCCTAGTTAGGGCTTGCCTCCTGATTTACTTGAGTGATTTCTGTAATGTATCTTATCCATCTCTAGAGTTCTTTCTTAATTTATCCCTCAGCTAGTTTGATGTTCATGCAAAACAACGAGTAGTTTGGGAAACGAATAAATAGTAGAAGTTGATGATCTCTAGAGAAGAGGTCTTTTAAATAAGCAGAATAGCGTATTTTAAAATTAAGTTCACTGTAGAATCTGTTAAAGCAACAGTTTTAACATAATTTTAATTAGCTATCAAAATTTTTTTAAAAAAAAAACTATTTTGACATTAAAACTAGTATAAACAGTTTAACTGACTTTGTTCGCCTGTTTTATTCGTATTTTAATAATTACTGATTTGTTTGCATTTGGACACTTTCACCTTAAGTTGAGATGTATTCATTAGTGGTCATTAATTTATTGTATGTTTAGGCCGTTCATACGGGCCAAGGTTTTCATTGCTTAGTTTGTTTACTTCGGAATTAGCTAAACTACCTACTTAGTTCATACAATATTTTCTTCTGAAGAATCTTCAGAGTGAGATAATTAGTTGGTTTTTATGCTTTTATTTTTTGGTTTTTCCGTTCCTATCAATGTTGATTTAATAAATTTTTGCACTGTTTATGCATTTATCTAATGGCTTCATACAATTCTGTATGTGTAGTACAATATACAATTCTCTGCAAGGAATATTTCCACAAGTTTCCTTTACACATCTAACAGAAAAACAATAAATAATTGCATATGCATCTACATAAAAGAAATTAAGTAAACGAACTAGCTGGAATTTAAATGAAATATCTTTTTTTTATATGATGAGAATCAATACAAATTTCATTAATTAGAAACATGTTTCAGAATACAAGTTTTTGACTAGGTCAATTCTTACCACATGTTCGTTGCATAGTTTATTTGCTAAATAAGGTGACGTGAAGCTTTTACAATTTTGCTTGCGTGCTCAGATTCTAAAGTATTAACGAATTGTTATAAGGGAACGATGTACAAGGAGAAATAAGCGAATTTATCGGGTGGTTAGTGTCGGGTAAAGCAACACTTTCCAAGAGTTTGCAAGCTGTTAAATGTCTGTCCACTACCATATTCATAATGACTTGAAAAAATTCACCAAAATCTCTTCTAACCACCTTTAGCATACACCGCAACACAGTTAAATCTCTTCTCAAAAGCTTTGGAAAAATAATTGGGAGGAGTAAAGGATATTAGGTAATAAACAAGAGTTTACAAACCATAAAAGTAAATTTCGAGTAATTCCAAAAGCATGTAACTTCTTTGTAAAATGAACCAAACGGAAAACTTTCTTAATATCCGTAAAACATCAGAAGACCAAAATAGTTCAGAAGAAAAAGTTATACGAAGATAAAAAACCTTTGGTGCTTTTTATCATAGAATCTCCAATTGTAAAAACTTCATGGGATTCAAACTAAGTGTTTAAATCCTATTCATGTCTCGCGCTACAGTTAACAACTTGAAATTCTGAAAGAGTGAGTGCGAGAATATTTACGACAGACCACTGTTCAGTGAGTTACAAGAACCTCTTCATTTGCAGACGATGTGAAAAAGGGAAATCGGTGTTCATATGGTAAGATCATACATAACAAAAGTGTTTTCCGTAGATGGAAGATAGTGTAGAAAATATGAGAAAAGGAGAAAGAACAGCCTCTTGTGGCACACCTTTGATCACCCTACCGTAGCTGCTACCTTGACGTGGTGGTTGAGCTTGCCTGCCGTGATGACCCAACCGAGCTATATTGTCTGGAACTTAAGTACCCGTAGGTTTTACCATGCCTGGCAGGTCGATTAGCAATCGGTGAGACCACTAGGGGCGGCCAGACCAAAACAGTAATCCATGAAGTCACTGGCAAGTGGACTGAGCCATGTTGGGAGGTGTCGACTACCTGGTTGAGGTCCGCCAGACGTTAGTAATCGATGGATGGAGACCTTGAATGACATGGCTGAAAATCGGTTGTAATGGCTCAAATGCATCCATTCTTTATGTTCTCTCAAATGCTAATCTTCAGAATTCCCCATCATCTCTCTCTTTCTAAATTTATCTCATTGAATTATACTTCTTGAACAATATCTTTAAACTGTAATCTTCTCCATTATTGCCTATTCTTCCACTATCTCTTTCATTATGGGATTCGAACCGACAACTTCGTCTCTTTGCTAATGTGGTATGGCAGCATGAACTCATGTACGTACGTACAAAGCTCTATGTTGTAAATGGCTGACTGACAGCGATTGGTAAAAATATTGAATACTTTCCTCAAAGCACAGTATACTGTTCTCTTCCATAGAGGTAGGAACATAACTGTTTGGTTATCTAGCCGGCAGGCTCGCTTAACGGTCGAGGTCTCGGTATAAATTCAAAGGCACAAGTATAGTCTGGAAATGTGCATAGAATATGTTTCTTACCCGTTCTTAGGCTGAACACTATACTATGATACAGGACAACAGCAGTACCCATGGTTCTTTTTTTACATTTGTAAGCAAATCGGTAGGGATCAATTCATTCTTTTGATGTAGTTTGAGGTTCAAAAACTTACTTTAGGTCTAAATTTTAGATTATTATTATTATCAGATACTTTCTTTGAAATCGTAATTATCTTTCTAATTCTCCATGTTTTTGGTGTAAAGTTTGTTGAGAAGGATTCGTTGAAGAATTTCGTGAATGGGTGGCAAAGGACGTCAGATGACTTTGTAAAAAGGTCCGAAATTTCTCTGGGTTTTAGATATTAGGACGAGTTAAATGACCAGTGACATTTTCGGACATCAGTAACAGTGAAAACTGGAACACAACTCTTCAAACTTGTGGATATGACATCAGATGGCTGATATACAAAAGATTTATTTATTTACAGACATTCAGTTAGGTATTGTCACCAGTGCGTTTCTCACATGTAGACCTGAAATAGCTTCCACATTTTTGAAGAGTTTTAAAAGATAGAAGTTTCTGAGTAAACAATGATTTCAGACATTTAATTTCTTGGTTTATCAGACCATTTAGCTTCCGAGCTTCAGTAGAATTCTTCTCCCCATACATTCTTTCGTTTTCCCTTTGTAGTCGTTTTATTTGTCAGGATGTAAGTTGATCAAACCTTAGAAAAAGTCTCAGTGGGACAACAAGAATCAGCGGAATTTCAGATAAGTGACAGCCTCAACAGTGTTTGTTAATGTGTAACTTTTAAACAGTTCTAGTCAACTGTACAAAACATATTTTTCAGATTTCGGATATTTTCTTCTGAGTAACCTCTGAATCTAACTTTTTTGTCTGGTGTAAGAGTGTACTCTGGGTAGGATACAAATAATACAATGATCGACATTAAGTAATGAAGCACATTTGCGACTCACATATGTTATCATATCCGAACGAGTGAAAAAGGGGAAAGTACATGAATTATTATGACTTAAGTACTTTACTTTCAGTGTAGAATGAGTATGAATGTTGTCTTTTTAATAAAGACTGGTCTAGAATCCTAAACTTAGTTTCATCCGACTACAAAATAATTAGTAGTCTTAATCTTAGTTGGACATTGGACTACCATCAAATCAAGTAATAATTATCGTTGTTGATTATGAGATTAACTTCCCCTCGTTTTTTAGTTATTCTTGTTCTAATAAACGACAGTTTGAGTTTTCTGGTAGGTTTAACTGAAGGAAACTAAAATATATTATTCTCTGAAACTAAAAGATTTTTATAGACCATTGACTGTCCTTCGGTTTAAAATAAAATATCTTTTGATGTTCCTGCCACGATAAATTTGAATTTGTAAACTGTTTACAATTAACTACTTAACCATTCCTAGGTGTAGTAATTAGTGTGTTAAAAAAGATCGTTTTATTTAGTCAACTGATCGAGCACGCAGTTCAATCTAAATCATTTGTAACGAGTTTTAAATTGGCTATCATAAAATTTTAATCAAGCTTGGGGAACCCTAATTCATAGCAACAAGTTTGGGGATTCAGGTAGGGATCTTCATAATATTAGAGTATTTTCCTTCACTTATTAAGATTTCTCTTTAAAAATAAACTTTCGTCTCAATATTTAGTATCATTTTAAGGGTTGTTAACTCGTTTGGATGATAATATAGGCATAACGAATATTCAACCTTATCTTTTACATTTATTTTGGTTAAGCCAATTGTATTCATATCTAAATATCAATGTTAACTTTTTATGGTAATAACCTACGCACCCTGTCTATTTTAACTTAGCCCTAGCATGGAAAGTAGACAAAAAACCTCGATCGTCTAAACTTTAAAAACACTTATAATAGGGTTATATATATACCGTTAAAGAAAATTGTACTCGTCTACAGAAGAAAATTAGTTCCCTCTAATCATACGAAGTCATTATATATTAGGCATATGCAAATTGTGTATAGTGGAATGTACTTAGTATTTTGTCGCTCCCGCGAATCATGTTGATCTTTATTACGTCAATGTCTGATTTATTCACCCAAATAATTTTGTGTATACCTTTAAACTGGCTAATAAGTAACAAAATAATAGTACATGACAGAAAATGATTCATCATATCTGTGAACTGAAATGAATTGACCACTAGGTTTTTGAATTATTCAACTGCATAAGTTTGGGTGAACCTTTATAACCCTATGAAAGTCCGATACGTATAGTCAGAATATTCACAGTTTATTCAGCATGCTTAGGGCAGAATGTAAGATAATAAGCAAAGTTTGTTGGCAACATGTTTGCTAACTATGATTATTTGGCCAATTTTCACATATAAAAAACAGTTTATTTTCTATTGAACAGTAAAAGTTTTTGTAAAAATATTTCTTGAAACGTTTGAAAATTCCTACCATCATTATTCAAACATATAAATGAACAAAGAATATTCTTCTCCTAATAAATTCAACAAATAACTATCTAATCTGATGAAAATTTCTCATCAAGCAAATTCTTTTTTTCTATTTTCTTAATTTCTCAAAGTTTTTACATTTAATTTTTAATTAGAATTATATCAGTTATGATTCTTTAAAATTAATTATTTTATTCTAATATTTTCTTGTCTTCCTATATGGTGAACAATTGTTACTTGAACATTACAGTTCGGAAATACTATTTTCCATTCATCTGTTTTTTTTTTACTTCTAATAGTTATCCTTCCTGATTTTTCATTTCAATCAGGTAATATTATTGATGTTTTATGATTTCAATAATTTTTATTTCAATACTCTTTCCATAGTCAGCAGTTTTGTAAGCTTTGTAAAACAAAAATACTATAAATTCAGAATAATCTATTTCTATTTTTAAGCAAAGAAATTCAATCTCATATAGTTAGAAGCTTTTCATACATAAACCTTTCCATATTTGATATATGGTATCATCAAAGTCACGGCGTAAACTTTATCGCTAAAATCTTTATTGATAAAATTATGCACATTTTCCTGTAATTATCTTTTTCATTAAGAATTTACCAATTGAAGTGATTGAAATGAACATTTCATATGTTTGAAAAATTTAATCAATTTTTACACCGATTTAATATTTAAATTGTGAATAATATTTCAAACCTTTTTACTCATAATGCAAATTCGATGATAGTGTTTTTTTCTTTCGAAACATTTTCGTTAAGCTATTATAATTATGTGAGTAATAATACAGTTTGATCGATTATATATTGTCTTGTATATTATGATTATTTTAATGATGACGTATTATTATTTTTTTTCATGAAATTACTAAACCACTTGTTAGAATATTGTTTTATTAGTAATAGCGTAGACTATGACAATTCGGTTTTTTTGAAAAAAAGGGAGTCAGGATGAAATTGAAATGATTTTCTGCATTAAAATTTAATGATTTTTCTTAAATTACTTACTTACTTACTTACTTGTTAAATATAACATACTCTAAGTGTTTTTTTTTAAACGATACTTTTTATACTGAAAGGTATATAAGCATTGATATTTGCCGATTCCATATAAGTTACTGTTAAAAATTAACATGAAAGTCTTGACAATTAAATGCTAATCCGTACCATTACTAACTCAGGAATAAAAGAATCTATAGATAGCTACGGTGATTGAAGCATCCTTTCATATCTACCTTTTTTAATACATTGTTAAGTTTTAAAGGATAACTAATTGGTTTGTATGTAGAAAGCGCTACAAATACAGGATGGATTATTTCACCATCTGACATTCTTTGTCAATCGCATTTGTCCATCCACTTCATGTGAGTGTAAATAATCGATAATTTCCGGGTGCATATTGCTTTACGAAGTCATCAAGTTAAAAATGAATGTAAGCTACTTCTTTATATAACTGACAAATGATGCTTTTTCACCGGCATCTTGTTTTGTATCGAAAATTCAATAGGTTTCAATTTCATATGGAATTGAAACATTTAGTTAAACTGTTAAAATATTTCGTATAAATGAATACGTTGACTAAATTAATCTTTATGTTTTCACGAGGTTTCATTTTCTTGTAATAAAACATTTACTTGAGCTATTCCACAACTTAATGTGTTAGTACGCTTGAGTTCTTGTCTATTCATTATCAATTATTTTGGTTAATTAATAGTTAGTATTTCTTAAAAATATGACACAAAATTATCGTACACTGTTTTAGTGAATATATAGTTATAAATCAAATGTTTTGTAGATTTTTAAAGCCAAAAAACTTTTTCCAAAATCCAGTTTCACCTTTAATAAGAAGTAATACTTTCATTCATATCAATCATTCTTTCTAGATTCATTTTTATCAGCCTGTAAATTGTAAATTATGCTCTCACTAATTAGTATTCGATATTAATCAAGTTATTATTTAATATTCGCAAGATTACATATAATTTTGTTTCATCCGACTGTTACTTGACAAGAGGTTATTTTCTTAATATATTAGAGAATTCCTGTATTCAATAACGTTTGATTAATACTGATGTCGCAATATTGATGTGACATTTATCTAGTCATGTGATGCAAATTTAAGTGACATTAGTTTTAATCACAATATGTTTTCACATCAAGTTTTGACATGATAAACAAAATGTTACTGGCGTAAATTGTTTTTTGTTTTGTTCAGTTTAGCAGCCATAAACAGTTTGACTTTGTCATAATCATTGAATTTTATCGCGTCATGGACTTCCCATCTTTGTATTAATTATCTAATCAACATTGCCCTTTGCTTCATTGTCACTTCTGAGTATCAGATATTGTTATTTGGTATCCATTAACAAAGCTTCGTAACTCAGAGTCATAGTTTCTTTATGAACTCATCCCGGCCTCAACCTATGCCATGAAGAACATAAATATGTTACTAGAAAACGATTTGTTGTATAATCAATTTTGAAATGTTGTCACCGATTATATAAAACTTACCAAGCACAATTTTTAAATCTAAGGTCAGTTATCAGTTACATTTAACATGATAAAGAGGAAACTTCTGCTGAAACTTCAGTTATTTATTTGAATGTCGTTAAAATGTGACTGTTAGAATTGGGTCACTGTTTGACAATTAATAATTTCTAGTGGCTAGTTAAAGCGTAGCATTGTTATTTAAATCATAATTAGCTGAGGGGATTATCGAATTTGATTTCATGCATTAACTTCGATGATGATTTAAAAAACCTAGAAATGCTTTCCTTTAGCAACGAAGCTTTAAAACGTACAGATGTCGGAAGCATTCGTATACAGTAACATATAGTAACATAAAATTTTGTGGATTGCTGGATTCTTATTCTTGAGATTTACTTGATTTTTGATTCTTCTTCATTATTTATATGAAAAGGGATCTCTGTTTCAAATGTGTGAAGTGTGTTGAGGTTTGATGGGATGGAAGTGTTGTACTTAATTTCCTTTCAGATTTGTATCAACTACAAAATAAACTTTACGATATAATAGAGAAACTTAAATTACTATTGATAACCGAGCCAAGAGTGTGATTCTTTCAGTTAACATTAAGAAACTTGGTATGACTAGTCAGCCTAGTTCTATATTACTGCTACATATTTTTTCGGAATTAAACATTACTGTTTTTATATTGTGGTTTTTTAATATCGGAGTTTTATTTATCATGTGAATAAGTGTCATCACACATAGAATTTCGATTTTTGGCACACATGCCATGAAATGTTTGAACTATTCTATGTTGAGCTGAATCAATTAAAGTAATAACCATAACATAGAAAGATAATTGTGTTCTTTGGTACCGTAATGTATTACCGCTATATATATATATATATATATATATATATATATATATATATATATATATATATTTAATAAGTAATGTTAACAATGATTGCAATTAATGAGTGGGATCTTCATTTATTTTTTCCCGTAAAAGCAGATACGCCGTCATCCACAGTTATAAATGATTCCGACCAAAATTCTGTTACAGCATCCACAGACCAGTTACCTTCTAAATTGGTTCAACACACTAGAACAACAAAGAATCATTTAGCTTCAGATGTTCGTATATTACCATCATTTTGTTGGAATAGTGATCATGTTCTCTACTGGTTGCGTGAATATGTTTGTTTACCGGGTGGATGTTTGGAGGCTGCCAGTCGACTTCGCTTAGATGGACAACAGTTAGCAAGTGTATTCGATAAGAAGATTGAGAAACAGTTGCATCTTAGGTAAGGATTTTTTTCATATAATGAAGTCAACTTTTATCGACCATTTTTGATATATATATATATATATATATATATATATATATATATATCATTTATTGATCTGTATGGTAATGAATCAATACGGTAATAATAAGAGGAACAACAACGTCTCTAATATACATATAAATATGTATATATATGCATATATACTGTGTGAAGTAGCCTTCAAATATTTGAAGCTGATCATCCACCTCAAAGTGTTATGAAAAGTGTTTAGAATAATGGAAAATGAATCACAACTGATCATTGTTTATCAAATAAACTTATAGATTTCCATCCGAATCTATTTACACAATCCTAAATTAAACAGGTTTGTTTTGAATTGTACATTTGTTAATCCTATCACCAACTTGTGACGGTAATCTATTCACTTATAACTGTTTTAATCCTTTTAATTTGAATTGGTCTAGAATATAATAGTGGACTCTTTGTCGTGTCTGAGGATAGGTGTTTCGATTAATACAATAATTAATCATCTGAAATACAAATCTGTTCGGTCTGTTTATCAAATTTTATTTTTACAAATTTAATTGGGGCCTCTACTATATTCTATTTATATGACGAACTGAGCAGATATTTTAGATTTTATTCTTTCAGAAATTATTTATTTACTTATCACATAATTATTGATAGGAATGGGCACTTGAATATTTATGTGCTATACAAATGATTGAATATATGAGGGCTGAAATACTGTCCAGATGCCTAAACCAAAGAATGTAGTTTTCTGAGGCAGCCTTTCTCCGAGCCTTTGACCTAAAGGTCTAATCCACACGGCAGTGGAGCAGCGTTAAGAGATGCAATGTGATGCCAGCCGTTAATCAGTAACGGGTTTATACGCCATTTGTTTCCTCAGATTCTTGGAACTAGCGTGCACCAGTGGTTTGAAATCCCAGTTTTCCGACTCTCCTAGGTGAATGCCCCGTACCTATTAACAGGGTTCAAGTCCCACAGGACATCGTTTTCTCTAGTTCCGATTTCGTAAACAACGCCACCACTTCGCAAAGGCATTGGGTAGAACTCTTGTAGTGGCTGTATACACCTGGCCATATGAGAGCATTTCGAGAGAAAGAAGACGTACCCAAACCTGGGTCGTAACAGGGTATTTGAACGCCTGGTATTGTTATTATTATCTTTTACACAACAGGTATTCTTCACTTAATTAGGTATGTGATCAGTGTGTTCCAGTCTAATGATCTTTAATAATTGAAGATGTAATAACCATTCAAGATTTTAGAATGTTCATAGAAGCGAAAGACCATATATTGCGTGATAACTTTATGATGTTAAGCCATGAGTAAACATCTATCTTTGTTTACAGAACTGATCATACCATAATTTCAGTTCATGGTTCTTTGTTTGAGAGATGGTTTAATTATTAGAGAACCTTTCTTTCCTCTGCTGGATTTCAGATTTGAACTTTTTATTTCTTTCACTGACTACGATTTTTGCGGGCGTAGTTGTTTAGTATTTAAAGCACTTTGTCTCTAGTCATCGAGTATGTGGTTTGAAATGAAATTCCTCTACTTTGCTTTTCCTAGTTTATTCCGCTATGAAACATGTGTTATACAATGTGTTATTCAAAAAATTATTCTTGGTTACTGAACTATCACGTTACTCTAAAATATGTAGCAACTGTCATATACTATCAACTATACAATTATTGTTTCATTTACTTTTGATAATTCTATGGGATTACTAATATCAACTTCAGTATACTTGTTTGATTTAACATGCAATTTAAAAGGTTGCGCACACTTCAAATACGTTTCTTGTTCTCAGTTAGAAAAAGGTCATTGATGATATTGTTGTTTTTAATTAATAATGAGAATTGGGTAGCATTTTGCAGCTGTTTCGTCCTAGTGTGAGATTTCTAATTTGTATACGTCTATGGACTTGGTAGGGGACCGAATTCAAAACCCTCAGGCCTTGTGGTATGCAATTAACCTTAATTTCATTGAAGCAGCATCCAGTGGTTCACATTTTGTAGCTTCAATTAATCACATCAGTTTGCAGATTACATTATCAAGTGTATGCTGTGACTTCCTTATTATCATCCTTAGAACAATTTGAACGAAATATACAAGTTTTAACCGTCACCTGTAGTCATATTTTTATATACGTCTGGCAAATATATTTTATAAGACACTTAAAATTCGGTTCAGGCAACGATATTTAGACTTTTGTTTCATTATTCACTATGTTAAGTTAGTAAGATTACGTACTATTTTATGTGAATGTAAAGAAAACGATTATACAATACGGTTATCATGATTCTACTAGAAAGTTTTTCGAACATCTTTGTATTTCTCATAATTTTTGTGAAAAGAATTCTCATAAGACTATTCCATTATCTTTAAATGAATAATTTTACTCTTTCGTTTTCTTTTTACTGATGGCTTTGTATACAATTGGTTTTGTGAAATATATACTTTTACAACTACAAACTGAAATTTAATTCATTTTATCAGTATTAAATATTATTGATATACTTCAAACAATTCATCTTGCTCTTTGTTAATTAGATTTCAATTAAATAAGAATAACAATTCAAGCAAAATAATAGGAATTCATTCATTCCTCGTATTTTTTTATTCAGCAATTTATAACTTAAATAAATTAGTATCAGCTATTAAAACAAATCATTATTAACATTTGACATCGCCTTCACATGATAATTTTAATGAAGGTTGGCGATGATTAGTAGAAGGTAATGAATTCAAAGGCCATTCTAAGAAATACCTATAAGTTTTATGTTGAAAATAGATTTTTAGAAATAAAAGTTAATATATTTTTTACGCAACATCGATCATGAACAGTTTGACAAGCAGAAAGAAATAAACAGAGGTCAAATAAGGAACGATAAGCACTCATTACTGCGTGGATAGTATTAAATGCGCTACGGCCAAAAGTTTGAAAGTGAGTTTGCTGTGGCCATGTGCAATTGACAGCTATATCCACTTTTATTGCATGATATTTAGTTCAGATCTATTGATGAATATAGCTTCAGCTAAAATCAGCAGATCTAAACTCATATGTGTAGTAATTATTTTGGGAATAATTTTGTGATGCCATTGAGATGGTTACCTGAACAAAATTTATGGAATTTGATATACAGATGATCAAACGTTCGATAGCATTTTTTCAGCGTCATGAAGCAGTAGATCGGATGGAATTTCCAATCATTGAGTTAGTGATTTTCTATCGTAATGAAAACATATGGTACTGCTTAGGCTCAAAGTTAAAATTCAACTCTAGAAAAAAATTTCTTTACCTCTTACGTAAACGGAACACCTTGAGAATATTTTTTTCAATCAGTTTAAGCCAGATCTACAGTTTTCTTCTATTTTGTCTTATTATAATGTTATATCTAATCAAGTAATTTATCTAATCTGTTTCATATAACCAAATTATAGTTTTACATGTGAATAGCTAGATGAAATCTTTCTCTCTGTTTACTTGTTTGAAGTCATTTATTTAAATATTTATTTATTATTGAGCAATTAAAATTTATGACGGTAGTATCTACAAGCGACTAACTTTGGTTAGATAGCTATCGAAAACAGGGACTATTTAGTAGCTGTTTGTTTCCCAGCAAAATCAGTCAGAGGCAGAGCCGGAAATGGAACTCAGGACCTTCAGGCTACCGAGTCAATAATTTGATTTACAGCAATTTTTGAATCATCCACTGCTATCAGTAATACTGTATCACATTTGATTACAACCCAGTACAACCTCACACTTGCTGTGAGACCTAAAGATCCAAGGTTTGATCCGCTTGAAAGTTTTAAATGAGTACTACAAAGGAACTACATAGTGTGATAAAAAAGCCATCAAGTGCTTATTAATTGTAAATGGTTGTCTGGCTAAAATTGGCTCATGGTTTAAACTGTCATCATAACCGATAATCTACGCAAAACCTTATATTCTAGTAGTCAAATGTAATACCAGCAAACATTAGATGAGATTATACTTCAGAACAGAAGTCAAATACTAAATTTACTTGTTGTTTTACTGTTTGTTCTTATTTATCAGCCGTTGCTTGCATTTTGTAACCATATTCTTAAAATATTCTATCATGTAATTCATATCATGTCATTAGTAATAACGTTATTCAATTTTTGTTTTCTGACTGCGGATATAGGCACGTAAGTCAGTCAGTCGGCTACAACGTAGAACTTCGTACGTACGGACATCAGTTCAGGTTGCCCTACCAGATTAACACTGAGACGAAATTGTCATTTCAAATTCCATATTATTAGCGGTAGTAGAAGTATTATCGATAATCGAGAAAATTAGGGTTCGAAGATATTATTCAAGAAGTATAATCTAGTGAAACAAATTTAAAAAGAGAAAGATAGAGGTGACGAGGAATTCAGAAGATTAAAATTTGAAAGAACACAAAGAATGGATGCACATGAGTTCTAATACTTAAGACGTTTTACTGAAGAAGATTATGAATTTGGAATATGAAAAATACTTCCACAAACTCAATTGTTTCAAAACTAGTAATCTATCATGCTGTTTTTACTTTTGAACAATTTAAGCAAATCTTTACCTGCACACTTTAACGTTAAGTAATGAAGTGAATACATACAGTTATATAATATTTTATGACTATATTTTAGGAATCGTTAATAAACTCATGATGTAAGTTAGACATCTGTTTCAATTTTCTTTGTAATATGATAGTAAATAATTATAATCAGATAAATGAATTTGATTCTGGTTCTGTTTTACATTAAGACTAAAGTTTCACCGACAAATCTTTCAGTATTAGATGTTATTGAGTTGGGGTACGATAAACTGATCACGAAACTATTGATCAATATGTTGTTTAGGTTGTATAGCAGATGTGTGTGTTTATATCATCAAAGACAAACTTCAATCATAGATTGAAACCATACTAGTCTAAATGTTTGCAATATTTCATATGATTGATAGTGTTTAATGAAAAGGTT